AAAAAAAAAAAATTCTATGGCACTGAACACACTCACACTGTTGTGTACCCACTACCTTTACCTCATTCTATAACATTGCCATCACACCAAGACAGGCCCCTTAGTCTGGCACTCCCGTTCTCCCCTGCTCCCAGCCACCAGCAGCCAGCAATCTGCTGTCTGTCTATGGATTTGCCTATCCTGGATATTTTGTGGAAAAAGAAGAGTAAAACCTTTATCATAAAATCAGGAATACTGGACCTTCTGTGTCTAGAGTCTTTGACTCAGCACAATCTTTCGCGGCTCATCTATGCTGCGGTGCAAGATGGATCAGAACTTCACTCTTCTCTCGGGCTGAATGATGGATCCCTGCCTGGACAGACCACCTTGTGTTCCTCCACTCACCTGTTGACGAACCCTCGGGCTGTGTCCACTGTTTGGCTACTGTGCCTAGTGCTGCCACGAACATTGGTGTAGGAGAGCTACCATTTTGGAAACTCCCAGACTGAGCCTACCAAGTTATCAAGTCTTGGCCTACCTGTCTTGGTTTTCAAGGTCAGCTGAGAGAAGGCAGCATGGGCTTTTACTTCCTCCCACCACTCCGGAGCTGGGCTAAGAAGGGACTAAATAAAAGTATACTGCAGGAGTAAACAAAGCATTTGCAATGAACCCACTTTTAATTGTTCAGGGTAATGGGAGACGGGGAAACAAACAAAAGGAAGGAATCTCACATGTTTTCATTTTCTGTGTTGGAATGTTCTCCTTCATGGCCCCCCTCATCTTGATCGTTTGTATTTATAAGGTAGAGGAAGTATTCACAGCTGGCGAACGGGCCAACATTTAGGACACCAGAGGCAGAGCCGTGGCATACAGGAACAAGGGAGGCACAGTGGCTCAGAGGCCCGTTTTGGGGGGGCAAAGCGGTATGATTTTGAACCTCAGTTCTATCGGTGTGACCTCAGCCAAGATCCTTCACCTCTCTCAGCCCACTCCCTCCCTCACCTGCCCAAGAGTGAGGAGGAAAGAAAGCAAGCTGGGTAAAGCCCTTGGTGCACAGTGTTGTAGTTGTTAGTGGCCATGGAGCCGATTGCCTCTCCTGCAGGCCCTGTCAGTGTCCAGCAAAACAGATCCATAGGATTTTCAAGGCTGCGACCTCTCAGGCGCAGATCCTCAGGTCTGTGGCCCAAAGTGTCTCCAGGTGGGTTTGAGCAGCTAATCTAACTAGTAGGTGCAACATCTCTTTGGTGGAGCAGCTGCTGGTTTAGAATGACTAGCCTTGTGTTTAGCAGCCCATTGCAAAAACCACTTTGCCACCAGGGCTCTGACAGCTATTATGTAAGGCCTCCATCCATAATAGCTGCTGTTATCAATACTATTTTTAAACTAGGTGGGTGTGTCTGAGAAACAGGTGGCAGATTCACTGGGCATGCCTTAGGACCTTGCTGTTGTGTTGCTGAGCCCCAGGAAAAAGCTGGCTAATAAACTCAGGGCTGGACATTGATCTGAAAAAGATGTCTTATGAATTAGGGTCCCCATTAGGCAATATAAAAGGTGGCAAAACTATTGGGGGCAATAGTTCCCATGTGCTGAGCACTTATTATGTGCCAGACTGTGGGCTCAGGAGTTTGCTCACTTCATTTAACCCTCACTGCACCTCATGGGGTGGGCATGACAGTGCCATTTTACAGCTCAGGAAAGGGCATCAGAGAGAAGTTAAATCACCTGCCCAATCCCAACCAGCAGAGCTAGGACTTGACAGGGGGCAGCCTACAAAACCTGTCCCCAAGCACCCCTGCACTGTCCCTCCCTCCATGAGTCCGTTGGTGCTGATTCTGCATGTGCCATTTTAGCTTTGCTCTGGTGAGTGACAAGCTGTACCAACAGAAGGAGCCTCTGATCAGCTCCGTGCACACCAAGGTGAAGGGGATAGCCAAGGTGATGCAAGAAACTGTGGAGAACGCAGAGAAGAAGGTGGCGTGGAAGGTCTTGGACACTGCAGATTACACATTCCCTTTGCAGGTGAGCCCTTGTCCCACTCGGCCCCACCCTGGACCCTCCCTCCCTCCTGGAAGGAGTGATGGTTGGCCCTACTTAAAGCCGTCCTATGGGGATCCCAGCTGAGAAAACCTCAAATGGCAAAACGGGGTCAGACCCAGCAGCTCAGAGAGGGGATGATGCATCCGCTGCTTTATCAAATCCTCCAGGGTTTCTCAAAATAGCAGCGCATCCGGCCTCACAGGCGTGGTTTGATTCACTGGCACTCAGTTTCTGCATGGCTTTTTAGAAGCAGGGCACCAAGGCAGCCAGGTCTGGCCAGAAGGGAAGAAAACTTTCCCTCTTGTGTGTGCAGCGTTTTATCAACGCACAAGCCTTCCTTGAGACCACGTCAAGCCTTGTGCACAAAGAGAGGAGGCGGATGACAAAGAGAGCACAGGGGTTGATGGCAGAGAAGGTCTGAATTTAAAAGAAGAGGAAAACGAAAGTAGAATGATCAAACGCTTGGCACTGGGAGGGGGCAGTGTTTAAGGACAGAAAAGTTCAGACTGGGTGGAGGGGGAAACCAAAGGGCAGCTGGCAGCTCGGGGAGCTGGGAGGTTTTGCAGGGCCTCCGCATCCGAGCTGCTGTGGTGGTTTCTCACCATCAGCCAGAACATCTCCATTGGTTCCCCAGGTGGTGGGAAGCTCTATTGCCCTTCAATTAAATTCCTGGGTAATCAGAACAGTGCTCCAATGCAGCCCACGCTCCCACACCTCCATCTCCCCAGGTCCTTGGAGTTTCGATTTAATGGGATTTTACAGTGTCAAAAAAAAAAAAGTGAAAAAGTTGCTTCTGAGCTGCATGGAAACGGAATACTCAATCAGACTGTTTCCCTGCTCTCCCTCCATCTCCAGGGGTTCCTAGACTAGGCTTTCTAAACTGAAGATTAGCAGGGGGGAAGGTTGCCCCTTGGGTGATTATGATCAGACAGTTGTGTTATAAAGGCCTCAAATGTTCCGCCTCATTCTCTGCTTCTCCTTAGGGAAACTCCTTCTTTGTGATGACAAACTTTCTCAAGACAGAAGACCAAGTTCAGGGGGTCTGTCCTGAGGTAAGGAGGGGACAGGGAGTGGTTGGGAAGGTGATGAGAGTTCCTGGGGGCAGAGGATGTGGAAACTGGGGCCCAAGGGATACAGGAGGGGGCTGGCCCTGGGCTGCGGGGATGAAGGAGAGGATGCAGCAATGCTCTGCTGCCAGGTTCTGGCTGGCCCCTGGGTCTCCAGCTTGACTCCTGCTCCTTCCACCTCTTACCGGGTATGCAGTGGCTCATGACAGCAGTGATCTTGGGTGTTTGTGGGGTTGCATAGTTCATTGGAGCCTAACAACATTAGCAGGAGAGCAGTATTTACAGCCCCGTTTTACAGGTTGGAACACAGGCTCAGAGAGGTTAAGTGATTTCCCCAAAGGGCATACAGCTTGCTGGGGGCAGGCCAGGGTTAGGAGGCTGAAGTCCTCATTCACGGTGTTTCCAACCACGACCTTGGGACCAGTCTGGGGAAGCTGTGCAAAGCAACTCAAGTTTGGTTTTGATCCTCTCCTTCTAGAACATTCTTCCCCATCAAAATGTGTGTGAATCTGAGTCCCTTCACAGTCCTGCTCACTTTTAAGATGGTAGCTAGTGACTACATAGGTGGTAGGAATTAATTTGTGTCCCCCCCCAAAAAGACAGTCATCCTAGCCATCCCCTGCCCCTGTGACTGACCCTGTTTGGAAGTAGTGTCTTTGCACATTTAATGAGTGAACCTGCGCTCACACTGAGTGGTTGTTAGTTGCCATCTTTATAACAGAATGAAAAGCTGCCTTGTCCTGCACTGTCTTCATGATCACTAGTCTGTTTGCATTCACTGTTGTGCCTTCTAATCCAGGGGCCCCGCCTTCCAGCACTGTATTAGACAATATTCTGTTGTGATCCTAGGGTTTTCATTGGCTGGTTTGCAGAAATAGATAGTCAGACCTTTCTTCCTAGACTTAATCTAGGAGTCCCACTGAAACCTGTTCGGCATTCTAGCAACACACAAACCTCCACTGACAGATAGGTGGTAGACTGCAGATGAGGCGCACTGGTTGGGAATCCAACCTGGGTCTCCTGTGTGGAAGGGGAGAATTCCACCACTGAACCACCCCGGCCCCTCTGTGAGCGGGTACTCTGTGCCAAACCCTACCTCCATAACTCGCTTAACCTTCATTCCTAAGCAAACCTGTTCACTCCCCTTTCACAGAGAAGACTGAAGCTCAGAGAGGGGAAGTGACTGGGCCAAGGCCACTGAGCTAGAGAATAGTGCTGTTGTCACCAAGCCTAGGTGGGCCCGAGTCCACGACCTGGATGGTCCCCTCCAGAGAGGGTGGTGAGCCCAGGCTGCTTTTAGCACCTGTGCCTCTTCAGGTTTCCCCAAGATTGGTCATTCAGCTGATCATGAGAAAACAGATGCACAAACCAAGCTCTCCTGGTTCTCTCTCCCTTGCTCTGCCCTGCGGCCTGAGAGCCAGCTGCCCTCACTTCCCTCAGCTGGGAACGAGTACAGGCTGCCAACCACCCCCTTCATTTCTGGCTGAGTCCTGGCCCCGTCTGTGTCACTGCAGCCATGAGGCTGGGCCACCTGCTCGCCAACTCAAGAACAATCCTGAAAGTGGTCTGTAGGTGCCCTGATAGCCACTTCAGAAATGTTTCTTTAATCTGATGATTTGAGACTTAATGCACATACCATAAAATCCACCACTTCGATGTATACAATACACTGGTTTTTAATAAATTCACAGAGCTGAGTGCCACTATCACAGCTTTTTAATTCCAGAGCATGTTCATTGCCCCAAGAAGACACCCAGCACCCATGCCCTCTCCTTCAGCCCCAGGAAAGGTGAATCTACTTTCTCTATGGACTTGTCTCATATAAATGGACACGGAATCCTACGGTAATATGCGGCCTTTGGGGACTGTTATTTTTCACTTAGCATAGGTTTTCAAGGTAGATCCATATGTCATGTGCACCAGGCCTTCGCTCTTTCTGGCTGAGTGATATTCCACTGTGTGCACAGACCCTGTCTTATTTATTGGCTCATCTGCTGACGCACATGGCATTGTGTCTGCGTGTTGGCTCTTGTGAGCTGTGCCTCTGTGAACACTGTTCGGGTTCCTACATGGACACAGCCCTCTGCCTGCGAGAGTCTTCTTGTTGCCTTTGCTTACCCTGGACTCCCTTGTCTTTCTTGCAGTACCCCACTCCCAGGACACTCTGTTCCACTGACCGGGGCTGTAAGAAGGGATGGATGGACCCGCAAAGCAAAGGTACATCTTGAGTCCCCAGGGTGGGACGATTGGCATTGTGGTGACATTTTCAATAGCTTCCTCACTACAGTCATCTGGATCTCAGCCTCCTCCTGCCATAGGGAAGAGGAAGCTGGCATGTGCCGTGGCTCTGCCCCTTGTGGGACCATCTCCTGACCATGAACTTGACTATAGTTCTGCAGGATGGGGGGCTCTTGAGGGCCAAGCAGAGTTAGTAGGCTCAAAGTTCTAACTGGTAAAGGCATCAGCTGGCCCATGGCCCCGTCTGGTGCCTCTAGACTGTTTCAAGCAACCGCCAAAGGTTGGGGAATGTGAACGTGTGTCTCCAGTACTCCTCAAAGCACAATTCCACAGTAATTGCGGAATTTCCATTTTGTGTCTCTTATTTGAACTTACATGCGAAGATTTTCACTCTGTCCCACAAAGTACATGTGCTTGATATGATGTAGAACTACAAGGCACAGTCAAAAAGTACTGCTACAAAAATAATAAACACCTTTACTCAACAAAATATAAACATGTGAGGCTATTGTTTCTCAGCATATCCTCCATCTAGGTCTACACGAGGAGACTTTAAATAAAGTTTCACCAAAAAACAAACAAACAAACAAACAAAGCTAGAATGAAAAGATAGTATCATTTCCCGATAGACCTTCTGAAGCCCCCCTTGTACCTTTCTGAAGGCAGCGTTGCCATTTCTTATCCTCCCGTGAAGAAGTCTGCACTCGCTGATGGACACCACATCAAAAAAGCAGCTTGGACATCTTCGTGGAACTTAAATGGTGTTCCTTTGAAATGTCCTTTGAGTTGGGAAACAAAAAAAAAAAGGTCTGAAGGGGCAATATCAGGGCTGTAGGGTGAATGGGGTCAGGTTTCCCATAGAAACGCTCACGGACAAGCCTTGCTACCTTTGAAGAATGAGTAGGAGCACTGTCATGATAGAAGAAACTTCCTCAATGCTTTTCCTCACCAGCGCAGCTCCTGTTTTCTTAAAACTCCCTAATAAGCCTCTGGGATCACCCTGGGTCCTTCAAAAAAAATCTATCAAGATGACCCCTTAGGATTCCCCCCCAAAACAGTCACCATGACCTTCTGAGCTGACTTCTCTGCCTTGAAGACCCCCCTCGGATGCTACTGTTCTAATTGGACCTATTTTTGAAAGCCCCCTACGGAGACAAAGACAAATGTCTAAGTCTGAGAAACTTGTCTGACTCATGTTGAAACACGTTTTGTTTGGAATAAACCTATTCAGGTGTGGATTGGACGCCCTCCCCCCAGTGGCAATACTTTTTGACTCACCCGTGTCATTTTGACATGATCTCCTCTTTCATTAACATGGCCTCCTGAGATCTGTTAGTGCCGCTGAGGCTCTGGAAAGCGCCACCCTGTTTGTTCTGTGGCCTAGCACAATCTGGAGGGGCCATGGATGCCAGTGGCACTCAGTCTCTAAACCAAACAAAATGATACAGCTCTCCTCTCCCACACCTTTTCTTATGAAAAATAATCATAAACTTAAAAGCAAAAGCAAAAATAATAAACAAAATCCATGATCATTCTGTACTGTCCCTAATTTTCAGGAAATTTTTATGGTAGCAAAATATATAACATAAAAAGTGCCACTTTAACCATATTCCCCAAACCCAAACCCACTGCCATCGGGTCACTTGTGCTCACAGTCATCTTATCTTTTTTTTTTTTTTTTTTTAACATTTTATTAGGGGCTTATACAACTGTCATCCCAATCCATACACACATCAATTGTGTAAAGCGCATTTGTACATCGTTTCTCAAAACATTTTCTCTCCACTCAAACCCCCAACATTAGGTCCTCATTTTCCCCTCCCTCCCCGCTCCCCCCTCCCTCATGAGCCCTTGATAGTTTATAAATGGGTATTTTGTCATATCTTGCCCTGTCCGACGTCTCCCTTCACCCACTTTTCGGTTGTCTGTCCCCCAGGGAGGAGGTCACACACAGCACAGTCATCTTATCTATATAGGGTTTATGCCGCAGTGGTTCTCAACCTGTGGGTCATAACCCCTTTGGGAGTCAAATGACCTTTTCACAGGGGTCGCCCGATCCTTTAACAGTAGCAAAATGACAGTGATGAAGCAGCAATGGAAATAATTTATGTGCGGGGTCACCACAACATGAGGAACTGTGTTAAAACGTCACAGCATTAGGAAGGTTGAGAACCACTGGTTTATGGCAATCAGCAGCTTCTTCTTTCTCCTGGGGAGGGGCTGGTGAGTCCGAGCTGTCGACTTTGTGGTTTGCGACTCAATGCCTAACCCATACGGCCACCAAGGCCCTTTAAGTACTCTACAGAACAGAGTAGAAGGGCTCCATCGAGTTTCCATGGTTTTAAATCTCTAGGCTGCAACATCCTTCTCCCACGGAGAGGTTGGTGCATTCAAACCGCACACCTTGTGGCTAGTAGGCCAGCACTTAACCACTGCCATCGGGGCTCTTTGAACCATGCTTAAGTAACACTGTGTACCCTCACCATGTTAGGCAGTCATTGCGACTATTTAGTTTCACAATGGTTACATCACCCCAAACAGAACTCTACCCCTACCTCCTCCTGGACCCCCAGCCACTCGTCTAACTTCTGTCACTGTGACTGTCCAGTTTAGATGATTCATACCAATGAAATCGTACAGCCGAGGACTTTTCCTATCTGTGTATGTCACTTGGGGTACTGCTCCGAGGGGTCATCCGTGTCATGGCATGAGTCAGAACTGCCTTCAACTTCGTGACGGAATCCATGACTGAACCACGGCGCACAAGTACCGGATTGAGTCCGTGCTTTCAATTCTTTTGGCTCTCTTTACTCTTATTTATTTCTTTTTTAAGATCTTACTGTTGTTCGGCCTGTTTGATTGTCTTCATTTGCATTTGTGGTTCGGATGCAGTTTCATGGGGAACAGAACCAACCGGCTTGCCTTGAAAAGCTTAAGTAGTCTTGCTTAGTTTGAGCCAATGACTTGCCTCCTGGGGAATTTCTTCTCTGTGGTCCTTCCACACTGGTGGCTCCATCTGCCCTTGATCCCCGCAGGGGTCCAGACTGGAAGGTGTGTACAGTATAAAGGGAACCAGAAGACCTGTGAAGTCTCCGCCTGGTGCCCCATCGAGGCAGTGGAAGAAGCGCCCCGGTGAGTGGAATGGTAGGGAGAGATATGGTGGGCCCTCAGCACAAGTTCTTGCCAGGGGCTGCAAAGTTCTGCATCTTCCTAGCTTGTTGACCCTGAGCCAGGTGCGCTGCTTGGCACAAAGCTGGTGGTCTCTGGTAGGGCCATGCTGGGGGTGAAAACATCAAGATAATTCTATACTGGCTAGTACCTAGCTGCTACTCTGAGTCCCCACGGGCAGCAACTCTCTCAGAAACCACAGGGTTGATGTCTTTCAGCAGAGGTAGAGGGACTTGGGCACAAATCCTGGCTGGAACACATTCTTTCCGTGTGACTTTGGGCAAGTGACTGAACCTCTCTGAGCTTCAGTTTCCTCATTAGCCAATGATGATAATAATTACACCTACCTCACTGGCCTACTGTGAGGATTGTACAGTGTTTGCAAAGTAAGCCCAGTGCCTGGCTCATGGTACTCAACCACAGAGACACAGACACGCACATACACTACACACACACAGTCCTGGAAGTGTGATGGTTGTAGATCAGCACTGTTCAGTGGATAGAAGCAGTCTGGACCTAAACAGTGCCATATGGTACCCTCTAGCTGCATATAACCAAGCACTTGTCATGTGACCACTGCAACTGGGAAATGGAATTTTAAATGTAACTTAATTAAATAGATTACCAACTCTTAAGGACAGAAGCCCTGGCTGTCTTGTTCATCACTAGATCCCCAGTGCCCATTACTGACCCCAGTATGTGGCGAAGGAACAAATGGATGAGAGATGGTTGGCCAGTGGCCGAATCTTCCTGTAATCTAGAATTTGCCTTGCTTGGTGATTGTTGGTTTTCTGTTTTTAACTCATGGGGGATTTCATACCACTCAGAACCTCCACAGAAAGACTGGTTTAGTCAACTCCATAAGGAGTCTTCGTGGAGCAACAGTTAAGTACTTGGCTGCTAACCAAAAGGTTGGTAGTTCAAATCCACCTGCCATTCTGTGGGAGAAAAGACATGGTGACCAGCTCCTGTAAATGTCACAGATTTGGAAACCCTACGAGGCAGTTCTACTCTGCCCTATACGATCCGCTATGAGTCGGAGTTGACTCAAGGCACACACAATAACATGGTGACTTAGTCACCCTGTGTGTTATATGGCCCTTTGCAAACAGTTGGAGATGCCAAGGTAAAAGATTATTGTGCGGTACTGCAGCCATTCCAGTCTTTTGGGGAAAGCCATGAACGTGGTGTGCAGGAAGAAGCAGGCTTGTTCCATTCTAAGCCGATTGCATCTATCCCTTTCCAGCTCTGAGCTCAGTAGAATCCAGTTGGTAGCCTGACATCAGTCACACTGGGACGATTTACATTATGGTAATTAGCAAATGCTATGAACCAGGGCTTTGTGTGCTTTTTTCCCATGAAGATCTGGTTATGAAACCCTGACCAGCACGCCACCACACAAAACACAAATGTACCGTTATGTCGGAGGGTAAGAGATGGCTTAGTCAGTTCTCCCAGGAGGGAGAGAATCTTCCTGGGCAAGCTAGAGAGGTGTTCTGCAAAATGTTTAGGGTTTTGCTCATTAGGTTGTATAGATCCTTCTCTTCCTGCATCCCCAGGACCAAAGTGAGAAAGCAGAAGCCCCTGGCCCCATAAGCTGACAGACTCTCTCGCTCCCCATCTTCCTCCCTCTTTCCAGGCCTGCCCTCCTGAACAGTGCCGAGAACTTCACTGTGCTCATCAAAAATAACATCGACTTCCCTGGCCACAATTACACCACGTAAGTGTCCAGCAGGCCTGACTGTATTAGTCATGTACTGCTGTATAACAAATCACAGAAAAACTTAAGAGCTTAAAACAACAAATACCTATTATCTCACAGGGTTTGTGGGTCAGAAATCTGAGAATGTCCTCACTGGGTGATTCTGACTCAGGTCTTTCAGGTGTCAGTCAAGCTGTCACCCAGGGCTCCCATCATCTCCAGGCTTGAATGGGGCCGAAGGATCTTCTTCCAAGCTCCCGCACGTGTTTGTTGGCAGCAGGGCTCAATTCTTCACCACAGAGACCTCTCTCAGGGGCACCTGAGCATCCTCACGACATGGCTGCTAGCTTCCCTCAGAGGAAGTCATTCAGTAGAGATAGAGCACAAGCAAGCAATAGCACACCCAACACTACCCAAACCATAGTCTCCTTTTAATATCTTATTGTGTCCGGGGGGGTTAGTTCAAAGTTTAAAGATGCTCTTGGGGCAATAATTTTGGGGGTTCCTCTAGTCTCGATCAGGCCAGTGAGCCTGGCCTTTGAAAGAGGAGCTGATCTTTTACAACCTAGTCCCAGAAATAACAGACCATCACTTCTGCAATATATTACTGGTCACACAGATCAACCTGGGAATAATGTGGGAAGGGTAAGTACAGGGGTGTGAATCCCAGGAGGCTTCTGTTGCCCAATTTCTACACTGGCTCACTTCTATGAAAGAGATGGATTTCATGTTTCAGTAGAGAGGTCTGATTTTTCTTAATTATGCACAGGAGAAACATCTTACCAGGTTTCAACATCTCTTGCACCTTTCACAAGATGCAGAATCCACAGTGTCCCATTTTCCGACTAGGAGATATCTTCCAAGAAACAGGAGAGAATTTTACAGACGTGGCAATTAAGGTTGGTGGTGCTTTTGAGTGGTGGGGTCTCGGGATAGGGGGTTGCAAAACATCTTGGTGGTATATGTCTGACCTCCTCTAATCCCTAGAGAGGGAGAGGGAATAATGATCTGCATCAATAGCCCAAGGCTCATTCCTGTGAAGTAGAGGTGAGACATGCCTCCATTCTCTAATCTTTTACCAACTCTGACACCAACTTTCCTTACCAAGGCCCTCTACTTCTCTGCTAGGTTGATAATTCATTGCTATGGCCACACAGAACTCACAGACCATACCCACAGATATTAGTTTTTTTAGGGAAGTAACAAGTTACAATTCAGGTTCAGGAGCGCTCAGGATACCCTTCTCCAGTCAGGACAACCTCTTCTTAACTATGCCTCCAGGTAAGTCTCTTTCTGCTTCTTGGGTCTTTGGCCTGGCCTCTGCTCTGCCCAGGCAAGCTCTTTTAGCTCTGTCTGTAAGTGCCCAATAAGCCTCAGCCTGAAAGCATTCAGCTCTAACTGTAGCCAGCAAGTTGAACTCCTATGACAAGGGCCTGGAAGCCCCTCATTCCACCTGCCCATAGGCACTCAGCTTTCTTGCTCTGTGGGCTGGGAAGCCCACTGTGCCATCTCCTGCTGGTCTCCTGGCTGTTGCTGCCCTTTCTCTGCCACTGCTTCTCACTGTCTCGGGTTTAGATCTCTCTTGCTATGTTTCCTGGGTCAAGGACTTTCTCAGCACAGAGATCCCAATTCCAGAGGTCACACTCTGCTCCTCTTTTTACCTCTGGGACCCTACTTTCTAACCTTTAGAATGGCTTCTTTAAATTTAGCAGAATGACAAAATTGATAAATCCCCTTGATAGAGTTCCATATGCCTTATTTGCATAGTCTCACCGTCACAAGGGTATTTATATTATTAGCGGGCTATCCAATCCCCTTGGTGGGCCACAAGCACCTCATTTACTCCCATCTAGTCATTTGGTGGAGTTACAAATAGTCTTACTAGAAAAGCAGTGTTAAGTAATTCAGTGCAGCACAGGGATAGAGGATGTCAAACGGCCATGAGGCAGGATCACTGGGTCCGAATAATATGGCTCATAATAATCAACAGCTAGAAAATTCATGTGCGGTGCCAGCGGCTTCACTTGCATGACCTCATAGAATCCCACCACATCCCTATGAGTGACATAGTTGGTGTTACATTTTCTAGGGATTCTATAAAAACACTCCTGGATGGTTTACAAAAACAGAAATGTTTTGTCACATGATTCTGAAGGCTGCAAGTTCAAATGTAGATTAGTCGTGTGGATTCCTTTAAAGCAGCGGTTCTCAACCTGTGGGTCACGACCTCTTTGGGGGTCAAATGACCCTTTCACAGGGGTCGCCCGATTCATAACAGTAGCAAAATCACACTGATGAAGTAGCAAGGAAAATAATGTTATGGTTGGGGGGTCACCACAACATGAGGAACTGTATGAAAGGGTCACAGCATTAGGAAGGTAGAAAACTGCTGCTTTAGAGAGTCTGGGAGAGACTGCTCCATGCCTCTCTCCTAGCTTCTGGTAGGTAGCTCCTAGCAATGCTTGCTCTACTTTGGCTTGCAGCTTGCAGCTACATCTGCCTCCAATTGTCACATGGCTCTTTCTTCCTCTGTCTCCCTTTCCCTATACATTCTCTTCTCTTTTATAAGGAACCAGATTTTTAAAACAAAAATTCAACCCACCCCATTATAACCTCATGTTAATTTCACTGATAACATTTTCAAAGACTTTATTGTTCACTTTCACAAGTACTAGGGTTAGAATTTTACCGTATTTGAGTTAATCCACACCAAAGGAATTAAGGAATTAAGGCTGCAGATGGAACTCAGAGGATGCAGCGCACCTAGCTAGAAGGGTGGCTGGGAGGAACATTTCTTAGTGGGGAAGGGGAAGGGCCAATATTTTTTTTAAAGTGTTTCGGGGGGAAATGAAGACAGTTTGGGATCATAGCTTTCTCTGAAAAAGTACTGAAAGAAAAAATTCTTTTGAAGTTTTTCAGACAGCATTTGATGTCTGAATTCCAGTCTAACTAGTTAAGAGTTAATCTCTAGTGTGGGGCTGTTAATGGTGTTTGACTAAGGGAGTGGTTTGTCGAGAGGTGTATTTTAGAAAAAAAATTATTCTAATAGCAATATATTCCATATGGTGGAGGGCCAGGGAAGGTATGTTTGTGATGGTCACACTAATGTCTGTGTGAGATAGAGCTGTGTTATGGCTTTCAGACATTAATAAGCAGCTGTCTTTGACAAAGACAACCTTTCCTTCTGTGATCCTCCCTAGCAGGTGGAAAACTCAACACAGAGATCTAGGTTCTCCATATCGCAAAAGAGATTGTTTAGAGATTGTTCCTTGTTTGACTTTCCCAGGGAGGAATCATGGGTATTGAGATATATTGGGACTGCAACCTGGACAAGTGGTTCCATCACTGCCGACCAAAGTACAGTTTCCGTCGCCTTGACGACAAAAGCACCAAGGAGTCCCTGTATCCGGGCTACAACTTCAGGTAACTCAGTACTCCAGCTCAGGGGCCAACCAATGGCTGGCTGGCCTTGGCCTTGGCCTTCCTATGGAGCTGAATGACATTTTCAGAAAAATCAGTAGGACTAGTCATTGGTTCCCAAGGCAACAAGATGAATACAAAACATTTCTTCTAAAAGCTAGCTGGTGGGTGAATAGAACTTTTGTAGAATTTTTTTCCCTTTTAATTATTAAAGAGAAACCTTAAACAAACAAACAAAAATACCTGTTTCTGGGAAACAGAAAGGCATTGAGCAAAGAGGACAAAAGTCATCTATAATTGTTCTCTGGTGACTTTCCCTTCATCTAGCGCAATTCTTTTGGTTGTTTGTTTTTTTTTATCATTTCATTGGGGGCTCTTACCGTCCATTGTGTCAAGCACATTTGTACATATGTTGCCATCAATATTTTCAAAAAATTTTCTTTCTACTTGAGTAAGGTGACCAGATTTAAAGTGGGACACCATTGACGGGGGGTGGGGGGGGGTGAGGGTGGTTCTTGATTAAAAATTTGGTCTATATGGACCAAATAGACTGTTCCCTAGCTTGTCGTGCATTCTTTCCAAAAATCGGGACTTTTTTAAAACGCCAAAAATTGGCACATCTGGTCACCTTATACTTGAGCCCTTGGTATTAGCTCATCCCCCGCCCTTCCCCCTTTCCTCATGAACCCTTGATAATTTATAAATTATTATTTTTTTCGTGTCTTACACTGACCACTTCTCCCTTCATCCACCTTTCTGTTGTTCGTCTCCTGGGAGGGGATTATATGTCAATCATTGTAATCAGTTCCCTCTTTCTCATTATCCTACTTACCCCTTACCCTCCTGGTATCGCTACTCTCATGATTGGTCCTGAGGGATTTATCTGTCCTGGATTCCCTGTGTTGCAAGCTCTTATCTGTACCAGTGTACATGCTCTGGTCTAGCTGGATTTGTAAGGTAGAATTGGGGTCATGACAGTGGGGGGAGGAAGCATTAAAGAACTAGAGGAAAGTTGTATGTTTCATTGGTGCTATACTTTACCCTGGTTGAAACATCTCTTCCTTGTAACCCTCCTGTGAGGGGATGTCCAATTATCTTCAGATGGATTTTGGGTCCCCACTCTACACTCCCCCTCATTCACATCGATATAATTATTTTTGTTCTGGGTCTTTGATGCTTGATACCTGATCCCATCGACACCTCATAATCACACAGGCTGGTGTGCTTCCATGTGGGTTTTGTTGCTTCTCACATCTAGCTCAATTCTTTTCTGAGGCTCAGGTGAGATGCCCTCACACATACAATTTGATATCGTGTTGCTTTTGTTTTCCAAACCCCAGGTCACTCAATTCTTTGTGACTATCTCATTATGAGCATAATACTCTACTGTGTAACTGTAATGATAGCAATAGCTGCAATTTAGAGTCTTTGAAGGCCAGAGAATATGCCAGACACTTTGTACCCTCAACTCTAAATCTCATTACAACCTGAAAGATAAGATATTTGTGTTCCTGGTTGAAGGTGACAGCAGTTAAATGACTTGCCCAAGAGTCACAGCTAAGAACAGAAACTCCACATGTCCATCCCAGTTCCTCGGATCCCTACACTCACATCCTTTTCCTCCTAACTCATGACTTTCCTACACACTCTCCTTTTACTTTTTAATTTCCACCCCTATCCTCCTTTTATTAGACAGTTGGGCTGGTTTCAGGTTTTCATTATCAATACCTCTGCACTGTATACCTCTGAATTCCAAGTGTTTCCTTAGAATGCATTTCAAGAAGTGGAATTATGGGTTCAAAGGTTATAAGTGTTTTACCGCATATTTTCCAGTTGTTGTTTTTTCTACTTAATTTCCATGGTTATGTTTTTCATTTTTAAGAATTGTGTTCATTTTTGTGTTCCAAGCACCTATTATTGTTAAATGAGTTCTGTTCTGACTTGAGGGATCCTCTTCTTTTGTTTATCTTTGCTGGACATCCCCTTGTATACAGACCTGTTGCCTGTAGTAATGAGTGGGATTTCCCCTTGTGTGCCTTGCTGATGGGTTTGTCTTCTTCGGTGCTGATATGGTGTGAAGTTCAGTGGGTGCTTTGGGAGATGGAGGACTGCCTACCATTAGGTCTGTACTCACCAGAAGCAAAACCGTAGGAAGACAACAAGCTTTTAAGACCCCAGATGCTACTCATTGCACTAGGATGCCGACCTTGATCTTTGTGAACTATAATGTGTCAGATGGCTGAGTTGTACCATGAGACTATGTCTGAAGCCTTTAAACCCAGAAAGGCAGTGTTAGAAGGTATTTAGTTACATCTGAGGAATATCCACATTTGTGTCTTCAATGAGTACATGTGCTTACACCCACATATTTGTACCTATGGGTAACTCCTTTTATCTGTGCTCACCTATGTATGCATCTGTACCTACCCACATTCCAAGTGGCCTATACCCTCCATATGCGTTCAAATGGTTACTTACTTTGGTTGTGCTTTGCTCACTACACCCACAATCGGTGCCATCTTTCCCATCACCCAAAGTCTATACTGTCTAGACTGTTATAAAGCATACCCCTCTTCCTGTGAGCCATTTATGAACACTGGTCTCTCTCTATTAATCTATTTTTATTGTTGTCTTATAAAAAAGAAACCATACGACATATGGCCTGCACAGTGTTTGTTTGTTTGTTTTTTTAATTTTCTATTGTGATTGGGGTGAAAGGTTACAGAGCAAATTGGTTTTCCATTGAACGGTTCACATGTGTTTGGTGACAAGGACTACAATCCCCATCATGCAACAGCGCTCTTCCCACTTCCTCCCTGTTCTAATCTTCCTTCTTTCCTCTCCTTTCCTCCTTTTGAGTTTCTTCCTTTAGAGAATATGTACCTCTTTCATAGTATTGTTCTTCTAGAGAATGTGTACCTCTCTGGTGGTATTGCTCACTTTATAGACCTGCATAGTGTTTTAGAAGTCGACACATAATGCATTTGAAAAGTGACTTCCTGATTTTCTTGGGAGAAAAAAGATCCAGCTCTTTGACCACCCTGGGCCCCTGTTCCACTTGGTAGCATTGGGTGGCGCTGAATATTGGTGGTCCCATTAGAAAAGATGTATACCCTCTACTTTGCCTCTGTCCTCACCACTCCTTATTGCCTCAGACCTGGCTCACATGGATATTTTTGTTACCAGCCTCACATCTGTAGACATTTGAGTCAAAGACCTTTTACTAAAAGACTGGCTGAGATCAAGACATAAAGGATTTTTGCCTCCTCTGGTTCAGTGGTGCTTTGTCCAGGGCCCTGAAACCAGCTTCTAGTTTAGGTAACGTTTTGATGGTCCCCTGCTGTTCTGCTGAATATGGCCATGAACAAGAAAAGAAGGCAGGATCAGCAATCCCCAGATGCCCTCCCCGCCACTCCAGTAGTCAGCAGCACACAGTGTACGCTCTGGCCTTTCTGACGTTAGCAATGTCCTTGGAGTCGCTGAATTAAGCCTAAGAACGTCCGCTCCTGGAGAGATCTGAGCTTTCTGGACAACTGAGGTGGTGAGGATGTTAATATTCTTTAAGAACAAAGTGTTAAAGGTATTTATTGCCTAGAATGAGTACCAGAAGAAACACTGGCCAACAATATAGTATCAAACTCTAAAGGATAACTAACTGGAAAAATACCCATATCAAAAAGCTCACCAAGAGGAAAACGGTAGATTATATGAGACTTTGGGGAAAATAGGACTTCCACAGCATAGGAAACTGATGCTGATCAATCACATTATGAGGAGTTGTGCTTAACAACAAGCAAGTGCTTCTCCACTAACTAAAAGGTCTACTGTTCAAACCCACCCAGTTGTCCTATAGGAGAAAGACCTGGTGATCCACTTCCATAAAGAGCTTAAATTGTGAACAGCTGGTTTGCAGAAGGTTATAGATGACAGTGGCACTCCAAAATCCATGTGCAGGGTCCCCTCATGGATACCCTCCAGTGAGTCCCTTCAGACCATAGTGGATGTGACTATAGATGTGCACAGCCTGGCTGTCAGACAGAGAGCATTATAAAGTCGGTCATGGCAGATGCAGCAAGGTTAAAATGTAACACTTTATCATTTGATTTCCCTTTTGACCCATTTTAAATTCGTTCCAGCTCTTAATATTTTCTGCTTTCTTTCTGTTGTGGTTTTCCTCTGTTTCATGTTGCATTGTTGTTGGTTTTTGTTTGTTTCTTTCTTTCTTGATTTTGTTTTGTATGTTTTTCTCTACATGAAATCCAGGATAGGTAGGTCTACAGAGACAGTAACTGGATTAATAGTTGTGGGGAGATGGGGAGCTAACAACAATACAAAAAAGAGGAAAGTGTTCTAAATTGATGGTGGTGCTGAATGCATCATTCGTTTAATATGATTGAACTATGGAATTGTATGATATGTGAGTTATATGCCAATAAAGTTTTTTTTGTAAGATCACAACCTTGAAAACCCTATCGGGCAATCCTACTCCCCCTAGGGTTGCTATGAGTCAGAAGGTCCTTGCCAACACCCAACACCACCATCACCCAAAAACACATGATAGAATTTTGTTAGTCTTTACAGGAAGATGCACAGTTAAATACTCTTATTTAGTGAATACTTCATGATTTGGTTTATCTACAGCATACTGAAAGTGGGCTAACCCACATAAACCCCACCATGCTCTTCTCTGGTGCAAAGAGCATCCTTGTACGTGGTTCTGACAGTATGGGCTAGGGGCCTACCGCATCAGAATCGCTTGGAACTTTTACCGAAAATACAGATTACTAGGCGCATCCAAACTTTGGGAAACCACCCTTTCGGATGAGGTCCTGTAATGTGCACCTTGAACACACTTCCCAAGTGGACCTTGCCCTTAGTTTAAGAACTACTATATATGTAAAAATTTTGAGAGCAGAAATTAAAATTTTTACTGTCTAACATTAACCTTCCTAGGCAAACTAGTTTATAGATAGATGGGTAGTAGGTAGATGGGTAGATGGATG